CATAAAAGATTCTAACATATCGATTATCTTCAGTTTCTCTGGATCTTTCTCTGGATTAGATAAATTATACATTTTATCCCATCCAATAATCACGCCTGCATAATTTGGCACATATTTTTTGAAAGTCACAATCATTCCAATTGCATATTTTATATTACATCTCACCTTTGGCGGACTGATATTTTCAAGTGATGGCCGAGTCTAAAAAATGTAGGTCTCTCACAATTGTTAACATCTTTTTTATATATTTATTACTTTGTAAACTTTTACTGTTTCCAAATTAGTTTTCATATTCAAGTTGCAATTATTAGTTATGTATTAATAATTAATATGATATTTTAATCAATTTATGAAATGAGTTGATCCATTGATCATATCTATTCATTCAGTACAACTACAACGAGCATTAACATATTACGCACTATATCTAAAGCTCATTTTATACGATCTATAATTCATGACAGAATTTTATTTATAAATTTTATGCATCGAGTAATACAGAAAATATGTAAACTATCAGAATCATAATTATGTTTTATTTTCAGAAATAAAAAAAGTGTGCAGTGTAAGTATACCTGATTGATCAATTGTATCTGTTGTAATGAAAACTGAAAATTTCGAAGCACTTTGAATATAAGTAGTCTTGTCCAATCGGATAAGCAAACGGATTTTATAGATATAAATGAAAAAAAAAAAAAAAAAAACTTTAATACAAGAATTTCTTTCTCATTTATAATTATATTTATAATTTCATACATAAAATTAAAAATAGAATTGTGTCACGAAGTATAAAGTGGGCTTTATATATGTTTAAATTGCATATTTTTCATTATACATTATCATAAATACATACCATTTTTTTTTGCATATAAAGTTTAAATTTATTTAGCAGTTCTTCAGCTCGCATTGCTTCTATAGCTACTATCTCACTGTTCTGCATATATAGAAAAACAAAGTTTACTTCAAAACACTTCCTGTACAGTTGTTCATTAGTGTACAAATATATGAAAATTAATATATCATGGCTCAAAGTTTGCTTATACAACTAATATATAAGAAATTATATATTTAATAAAAAAAATTTCCCTTTTATTCATATTAGTAATCATTTTTATATTAAACAATTAATTCTTATCATATTGCGAAAAAACAAGTTTGCAAAAAAAAAAAAGAGAAATTTTATGAGAATGTTAGAATTTGATTTATATATAAATTAAATTTACATACCAGTATTTTTTGTAGTGAGATTAGAAGACCTGATAAATTCATTTGATTTTGCATATAATTACGACCTAGCTCTTGAATCGCGTCTATATTGTATGGGTTTATCATATAGCGGAATTCCATCAATGAGCGTATTTGCAGAGTTCTGTCTTGATAATGTTGATAGTCAGGATTAACCATTTGTAAATGATAAATCATCCGTAACACGACCTTAAAACAAAAATGTATATAAACTAAGTTAACAATGCAATAAATGGAAAAATTAATTTCGTCATATATAACTCTCTTACATATAATATAACGTATGTCTCATTGATTTATTCCGTGTTGATTTATCTGTGACTAATTTATATTTATTTTTATATTTATATTTTTACTACTTATTTCTACATTTAATAAGATATATAAATAATGACCAACCTCTGTAGGACTAATCTCATTGTGTTTATTAAAATTTTCGATGGGACATCTTCTACCACGAGTTCTGGGACAATCGTTTCTGTGGGTAAAACCCACCATAGCTCCACCATGCAAGATGTCAATACAGAAACATTCTTCGTCTTCAGATTTTTCTGTAATACTATAGACAATAAAAAAAGAATATGTAGTTCACATATATACACGTATACATTTATATAAATATATATGTCTATATGGTACATGCACAAGATGTCTTACAAATCTTGAACATATTTCTGGACAAAAATATAGAACGAATGTTCTTATGAATTAGGTTCGCAATGCTTCATTGTTGAAATAATGGATAGAAATACAGTAATATGACATTTTTTAAATAATGAAATTTTTCAAAATAATTTTTTTGTTTACAAATAGTGTTTTACATCATTTTCCATATATGCTTGAAAATGTACATGATTGGCACATTATTTCAAATATTTTTATCTGTTATTTTGAAACATTTGCGACTTTGTGTTCATAAAAATATTTCTTTTTTTTTATTTAGGAATACGGTCACAAAATTTAAAACATATTTGTGACTTATGATTTATTTTGTATCAATATGTAAATATATGACAAGTTTGATAAATTAAATGCTTCTAAATTATACTTACGATTTTGGTTTCCAACTTAAAAAGAAGTGAGTAGGAAACGCTACTAGATTACAGCGTACGCCAAGTCTCCTTGCTACACTTTGGAATATTATTGCCAGAGATACAGCATCACCAACTTTGTTTTCTAAAACCTAAGTATTACAAATTACATTACTCTCTCTCTCTCTCTCTCTCTCTCTCTCTCTCTCTCTCTCTCTCTCTCTCTGTGTGTGTGTGTGTGTGTGTGTGTGTGCGCGTGCGCGCGCGCGTGTGTGTCTCAGGCTTCGCATGATGCCCATCAATAACAGATTCTTGAGATCATTTCGAGTTGAGAATCCTAACATCAAAATATCGAGGTTACAGTAGTTTTTAAATGAAAAAAATTTAAATTCAGCTAACAGAATTCGAAATTCGCGCGATCAGGCATGGCATATCATACAGTGATGAAGATGTTTAGAAAAGTAAAACAGAATTGATGCTTGAAAATATCGTAACTATTGTGCAATGTGTTACGCCTAAATGCACGAGTTTCGAACAGGCTAAATTTAAACTCTTTTCATTTAGAAATTATTATAACCTCGACATTTTGATATTAGAATTTTCATCTTGAAATGATTTCTGATGAGAAATCTACTAACGGATGTTATGCGAAATCTGGGACATCCTGTATAGAAAGATATTGACACTTTATACTTTTATATTAACATAACAATATAAATAATACTATGCATATAAAAATGTGCTCATGATGTAATTGTAATATATCATAATCTATATCTTACGCAATCTATAAGAATGTTCTCCAGTTTATATAAAACGTTTGAAGCCAAACCAGAGAAACCTAATTCGTCAAATAAAACTATTTGAAGCATATTTATTATTTGTTCTTCTTCCTTCTTGTTCCATTGATTGTCGTTAATGTTGTTATTTTTCCAAAAAGAAAACTGCTTAGCGGATATTGAGAATATTGGATGGTCCCAATGTACCTTTTTAAGATGCTTCAATACCAATTGTGCAATATTATCCAGCGATGCTACTACCTCAAAATAAAAGACATATTTTTGAGGTTGATACCATTGTGCTGCAATAGTAGCTGCCTCTTCTAAAAGTTGCTGTTCTTTGGGATAACTTATAAATTCCTGCCATACATCCTTTGTATGACGCTGCTGTAAATATAGAAGAAGTTCTCTGCTGTAATATTTATGTGTTAAATTACAATCAGGTAATCTGAAAAATGCATGTACATTAATTGTACAATTAATCCATACATTTGTGTGTCTACAATATTAATAATTTAATAAATCTTACAGTGAGGACATTGTAATCATATGTATCATTTCATCTTTAAGAAAATAGTAATTCATAATATGAGCGCCCATATTTGGACAAAATAGTGCATCGAAATGTTCCACGTCACTTTCGGAAAAATTGTCCTTTTGAAAGAATCTCTCGGACATTAGCGACAAGTGACTTCGTAATTCATTTCTACATTTTATGCTTGCTTTTACGTCGTCTTTAAAATTTATGCGTTCTTTATTTTGTATCCGTTTGTCATAAATTCTTTCCATATGAGGCCATCTACCATTAAAACCAGAAATCTTCGTTATTTTCAAAAATTTTAAGTAAGGGCATCTATAGAATTTGCGCATATCATTAAAAAATTATAAATTAAAAAAAAGTTGCACAGAGTAATAATTAAAACTAAAACTAAAATGATTATTCCGTAATAAATAGAGCGAAATACATCAAATTTGTAACTCGTATAATTTGTACTCGTTATAAATAAATCTGTCATTATTCGTATTGTTACAAAATTAATTATTTCATTTGTATTCATTGTAAACAAAATTCCTTATTTTTATTAATTATTGCAAAAAGAATATATTTATAATCATGTAAAAAACAATTAAAATTCAGAATCTGTGTTTAGCTTTTAAAAGAACTATTTACACATTTACTATGCAAATTTAGATAGTCATTATTTTTTAGTTATTTAAAAAATATATAATCACTAAATTATTAAAATTTAAATAAGAGTCATATGCTGTTGTAAGAACGGAGAGATAGGAGAAGCAGATAATAATCCTCAGGTGTTGTTGGTTATCTTCAATTTATTTCGAACGTTTCATCTCCTTTTGAGCTTACTCTCAATGGAAGATCTATGTTCGAAACATTCAAAATAAATTGAAGATAACGAGCAACATCTGAGGATTATTATCTCCTATCTCTCCGCTTTTATAACAGAGAGAGAGAGAGAGAGAGAGAGAGAGAGAGAGAGAGAGAGAGAGAGTCTTATGATTCACACTAGCCTTATCTAAACTCTTATTTATATTTTATTGTTTAAGATTGAGAGTCCTTATTTATATTTTATATTTATATATTTCTTTTAATTGTTTCACTAAATTATTAAAATCAGCCAAATTATCTGTGCTTTGTTACATGACCGTAATTCAGAAGAAAAAAACTTTGCAATTGTTGTAAGATTCTTTAATATAATTAATCTTACCCTTAATTCCTCACTGGATCTGAATATATAAACCAATTATATTATCGAATCTCCAACCATTGTAAAGCAGTAAATATTAAACTTCTAATTTCAACATTTATTTCTTCTTTTCGTGAAAAATTTCTTATCTATTCCTTATTAATGAATTCTTTGAAATGGTTCCTGTAAACGAGAATGGATTAAAATAAATTAAAATAAATTCAGATTCCAAGAAGTATTTGCAAATGTTGAAATAAATTATTTTTAATCTCAATGCATTCTTACTTATTTATAGAAATTGCATGAAGCATATTTCTATGTCTTTAAAAATAAAAAAAATTTCAGTTCTTTAAGTGTATCGTGAAAGAGAGAGGAGAGAGAATACAGCTTAATTCAAAATTCTGAAATGTAATTTTTCAACCCAATTAAACTTAAATAAATTTTTGCATCTAAATGAAGCTAAAAAAGGATAATGAATGATTCTAAAGTATGCATTCAAATGGATTTAAATGAATTAAAATTTCAGTTTATTTTAATGCATTCTTATTTACACAGTGTAATAAGTTGAAGTAGACATATTAAGATTATTTTACTTCATCTTGTTGCAGCATGTGCACCAGTTCAGAAAATTCATTGATAACAGTTTTCTTATTTCGTTTTTCTATTCTGTAGAATAAGATAGACGTTATCAGCTTTCTACAATAAGCCATTAGTCATAAATCAGAAGTCAGAAGCAAAAAATTGATGACTGTGATTGGTCAATTTTTACTATTTTTAGCTTCTGATTTCTTATTTATGACTAATGGCTTATTGTATAAGGCCCATTAAACTATTACTCATTCGTTTCTAATATCTTAATTATTTGTTTATTAAATATGAAATATCAGAGTTGTTGTATCCTTGAAGACAAAACAGTAACAACAAAGTAATTGGAATGGAAAATGTCAAATATTTAATCTCTCCGAACATATTCATAAAAAAGTTATGATCAAGTTTAATGCAAACACAAGAAATCAAGTGTCAACACAAAGAAAATCGATTATGGAGTAAATATCAGCAATTTTCGTTCGTAATTGAATTCTTATGTCAGTAAAGTGTCAGATAATTCGAAACAGCTCGAAATATTAATTAGTCGTATGAAATTTACGAATAATCAATTTCAAATACAAATTGACATATTCGTTGGATTCGCATTCATCATTTTACCATTTATGCCAATTTGCCAGAGGAAGTTTTTTGACGAAATTAAAAGATATGAATTGCGCAGTTTTGAACAAACTTGTAAATCTCTATATTCTAAGTAAATCGTGATAAGAATTTCGAGAGAATGACGAAGTTACCTTTGATAAACTTTCATTTGCCATAGCGTGTTGTTGTGACAGATCGCATTGAGAAATCGTCGGCATGTTAAACCAAAGCTCACAACATCCTCGATGCTAATGATTTTTTGTTGCAGAATGATGTAGATTACCTCATTGGACAAATTCTCTATCGTCGTCATTGCAAACAATTCGGTATGTAAGAAATTATAATCCGCATCAACTACAATGGATGTGTTCTTTTTCTCTTCTTTTCTAAGAACTTCTACTTCTGTTCTATATTTAGAGCAGTGTTGCCAACCTCCGCACTCATAAGCCGAAAACACAATCGATCTGGGAATCGATTCTGTATCTTGAAACGAGGTGAAAATTACAAAAGTGAGCGAATTTACTAGAATACTGTAGAATAATTTCATTGATCAACACCTAGTAAATTTGCTCCCTTTTGTAATTTTCACCTTGTTTGAAGATACAGAATCAATCCCCAGAGGCTCGATTATATATTTTGTAATGAAGTGGAAAAAAGATTACTAGATATACGAAGATATTGACCAATTAAATTATGAATACTCTAGTGAATTTGCTCACTTTTGTCCTCATTTGAAGATACACAATCGACCGCCTGTGGTCTGTTTTCTGTTCCTGCATTAGATTGTTCTACAACTCTCTTTCTCGCTTTAAACAAATATCAAACTGTAGCGGATTGCTACATATAATAAATGTAGGTAATGGAGGAAACTCGGATTCATAAATGTGTGTGACAACATTCGTTTATTATCACATACTACATATATTTTACTACATATATTTTATTACATATATTTTATCACGACAACGTAACTCGATATGTCTTGTGTATCTTCAAAGTGCAAGAAGAACTAAAAAGAGAATGTCTAGATGGGAACTTCGATATCGTGTAATCTGGTCGCGGAGTGTGTGAGCTAACGAATATAAGGTATGATTGATGTATAACTGAAAGAGTGTGAGAATGGTGGGTGGGTGTGTGCGTGTGTGTGTGTGTGTGTGTGTGTGTGTGTGTGTTGTATGGAAGTGTGAATGTGTCTCTACAAAACGTATATCTATCTCACTTTAAGTTCCAAAAGTGTACACTAGTAGTAGTTTAGCCACAGACCTCTGTTCGCGTTGCTTGCACTTTTGGCACTCGACATTTTCGCTTTCTCTCTTTTCAAGGTGAAATATGTATCAATCTCATTTTAAGTGCAAAAATATTTGGGGATTTTATGCAATTCAATTGAATGCTTCTTACTAGCGTCATGATCATCTTCAGCTTCACTACTGTTGCCGCTTTCAATTCCACTGTCTTGACTCTCCATACTCTCTCTACGACCAGTTTCATTTTGATCAACGTTATCAGGATGATCTTTTTTGCTGCCCTTGTTAATAGCTTCTGAAATTACTTGTTCTATCTTCTCTTTCTTTATTTTCTCTAGTTCTTTTGACTGTTTGATTTCTTCTTTCAATACTGGAAGGAAGCGTTGGGTATAATACTCATAATATTCTGGCGATTTTTTTAATTTAATTAATACCTCAGTTAATACCTCAGGACTAGCCCCTTTTTTGAACAACCTCTTGCATTCTGTGAGAGTCCCGTCTTTCCCAACTTCTGGGTTTAGGTGTTTGTGCTTTCCTTTTGTTACTTTTTCCATTATAATATTCAATAATTTACTGTTGTATACTAACTCATTGGATGTAGAATTTTTTTCTGTCATATCAAAGCCTCGCTAAAAATTAACTATTTATGTACCCTTGTAGTTGTAGGTGTTAACAATTTGAGATTGAGAACTAACAACTAAAAAGCAGGCAGAAGAGCGTTTCTGCTAGTATCATAGTTAAACCTCACTTCAACGATTATCTACTATTTTAAATGTTTAGTTTTAAGAAAGGATAAATATTGGTATATAGCTAAGTGAACAGGTGCAAAATGTGCTATACACATAAAAAATAGTAAAATTAGTTTTAACTGTATCACGAGCATAATTATGTACATTAAAAGCGCTAACCAATGCTCTTACTATTTCTCTTGTATTAGGCATACTAACCTCCCCATTTTTAAATTACAACAACTACCCTTTACTTAACGTCTAGGATTGTTGTGAACCACCAGGATTGTTTTTCTGCTCAAACGGACTCAACTGCCTCAACTGACTCGCAAGCCTCCTTTCTTCTATCTCCTTGGCTTTTTCACGATGATCATCAAGCCTTGCTCCTTTAACTCCCAGCAATTGTCCACCACCTAGTCCCTTATTCCGCTCATCCCATTCTTTTTCTCCCTTGAACCTTTCCGTACCATCATCATTTGGCATATTGCCCTCCAGTAAAAATATTATGTAACTAATATACTAAAAATAAATTGTAGTGCAAACACTTTTTTTATATTTTTTAACATAAAATTTTATTCACTCTTTTTTCATAAAACTTAAGTTTTCTAGATTCCGCTAACACGTAGCGGAATGACGAACTGTCGACACCTATCTATATGCGAATAGACCTAATGGAAAGCACAGACAATAGAAAGAGGAAATAAAGAGATATCAAAAAGCGTTTATTCTAGTATATGTGATTTCTGATAGGTTTGAAATTTATTTCCTGTTCACATTGCCTATGCTTTTCATTTGTGTTTCTAACTATAAGCTTATAGACTAATCACAGACGAGTATTCCCCTCTCATTCGATTATAAAAGAGGAACTACCCCTTTACATGAACTGCACGCATGCGCAGAAACACGTATACTCAATTTAATGGTGGATATACGTATATTCTAGGTGGAAACAAGCATATCATGCGTGATTAGTGATATATCGACGCATCTTGTAATATCCCACGATTCTCACAGTGTATTGTCGCTGATTTTGCGAGTATCTGATATTGTTGATAATTCAATTAATAAACATACGACGAGAGTGTTGCATCGGTAACATCGTTATCAGTTACTACGAAGCCATAACCGTGAAGTAGAAAAGACGATAGCACCGTTAAATCGAGAACGCTAACATGGGCTCCAACAAACGTCATAAAACTGAAAAATCTCGCGATGCCAAAAAGAAGCGTCATCGCAGTCGCTCCAGAAGCTACACGCCCGACCGCGAAAAGTCAGAAAAACATAGGCACCATAAGAAACATAGGAGGAAAGAACGCAAAGACTACGATAGCGTCTTGGTAAGGGAATTTGAGTGTGTATTATAGAATATATAACAGTATATATAATAAGTAATATATATATATATATAATAAGAGATTATATGTAACTATAAGTAAAAATATGAGTATACTTACGTATAATCGTAATAGTTAATTATATTTATATATAATTATAGAAGAAAAAGAATTTTTAACTTCCAGTTGAAATCGTTAATGCTCCGCCGCCACCAAAAATATCCAAATCATCGCATCCGTCGACACCTCCTCCGCCTGAAATCTCGAAACAGCGCAGTCCATCCCCTGCTAAAGGTGGAGCGTCGCAAACTTCATTATCTATCGAAGAAACTAACAAAATTCGTGCAAAGTTAGGATTAAAACCATTAGAAGTAGATAATACATCTAAAGATGATCCTAGCAAAATTAAAGATGATCTGGGCGAGTTTTATCACAAACCTGCACCAAACAATAATGATAAAATAAAAGCACAGAAATTGAGAGAAAAGATAGGTACTCAGAAGGAAAAGAGACAAATTGAGGCAAATTTGTCAAAAATGAAAAATTTGGGTGAAATTGATTTGGATGATGATACCCAAGCATGGATCAACAAATCTAGGCAGCTAGAGGAAGAGAAAAAGAAAGCAGAAATGAGAGTAATGTTCTAATAAAATTCAATTTTTATTCTTATTAGCATTTTGTGTTAAATATATTATTGTATATATGTTATATAAATTTTTAAAGTATTTTGTTTTAAAAATTGTAAAACTGTGTTTATGTGTGTGTGTATATATATATATATATTTTATGATAATTTCACATATAATATTTTATTAAAGTTGTTTATATATTATACTGTAAATTTTTTAAAGAAAAATATTATTTTAATTTAAGGCAAAAATGTTAGATCAATTGGATGAAGAATTTGGAATCGGGAATTTGGTTAAAGAAGAAATATATACTGCCCGCAACACAGCATATACAGAGAAAGATTTGAAAGGCCTTAAAGTCGAGCATAATCTTGTGTGTATAATGATATATGATTCTAATAATATATATTAATTATTATTTAAGCTTTTGATACTTATATTATGTCCATAAATTATAACAGTTTTCTATTTTT